GATTCTTAATTCATTTCAAAAGAAGATGTAATAATGTATGTATTATAATTATATGACAGTATCAAAAATATATGCACATTATAGTTGGTATGTTATGAAGTTTTGTTTTTGAAAAAAGGATAAATAAATGAAGAAAAGAATTATAAGAATATTGATATAATAATTTAATATACTAAAGAAGATAGGAATAAAATGAATTTTAAAAATATCAATAAACCATTTAAAATAAATTGAACAATAGAAATAATTAATCACATTTATAAGAAGATGTACCAATAAAATAAAGAGTATTTGTAGAGTTATTGAAAATTAATTAATTTGAAATGATATTATTTTTTAAATTTGATTGATAAAAGAAATTATTAATTAAAAATAAAAGTCTGATAATGATATATAAAATAATATTATTTGATATTCTGTATAATCAAAGGAATTTGCTTCAATACATAATGTTATTTCTATTCAATAAATATAATAATATGAACCAACATTAATACCACACTTGTATTGGTAATTAAAATTTGATTTTTAACTCATGTAATAACAAATTTTATAGTATTTAAGTATCACATTCAATATTACACAATATATCCATTGAATATTTTAACAATAACACATAATAAAAATATAATAACAAACGCCTTAATATTTTATAAGTCAATAACAATTATTTAAATATTCAAAATAAATTATTGAATATTAAAATTATTATAGATTATAACATATCCATTAAATGTTATTTGTAAAAGTTTATACATATAAACATTTTCATAAAATAAAAAATTATCTGTGATGAAAATATATGTAAAAAGTTTATTTTAACTGTATTTGATAATACATGACTCATTAATAATTTGTGAATGAATTCAGAATGACTATTGAAGACAATTATTTCAAAATATCTTTGAGAGTTATTTCCATTTCCTTAGCATCTTTATTTCTTTATTTATAAAAATAAATAATTACTTCACAACCAAAATTCCATAATAAATTCTCTATAAAAATAAATAATTTATAAGAATAAACTAATTTTATTGTTCTATTGTTCAATACATAAAATTTTCCCTTTTCCAATATTATCTGATTAACACACAAATTATAAAAATGGGAATAAAAAATTCTTTTAGTATGTATTGCCATAAAAAATAATCATTAAACCTAAGTCTTTGTGGTGTATATTGAATTTTTTTTATGATTCTTATCCTTTGGTATTTATTATTTTATATTCGATTTGTTTATTATTTAAGTTTAATAACCTCTCTTCAAACAAAAATAAATAGAATGCCATTATTTAGTTTAAAGTAATTTTTAATTGTTCTAATAATTTATCAACTTCTTTGTTAATGAGTGCTGCAGTTTCTTCAATGGTTCCCATAGTATTAATCTGAACCTGACTCTTATTATCATATTCTTCTTGTGTTGGTTGTGATTGAATTCTTTTCTTTGCTTGTTCCTCACTCAATCCATTTCTAGTCTTGAGTCTTTTGATTGTCTCTGCCTCATCAATTCTAGTTTCCCAGATAATATTTACAATTGACCAATTTGCTCTAATCAATAATGCGGCTTCAACTCCAACAATTGGATGACCCTCTTTTTCTAATAACTTAATTCGTTCTTGAAGTAATATGTATATAGCAGGCCATGTTAAGTCACTAATTATCTTCACATTTTGTGGGTTTGAAAAGACAAGTTCTGACAACTTCTTTCGGTCAATTGACCCATCTACACCTACAACTTCTTTTCCAAACAACTTAATAAAATCATTATAAACAATTGACCCTTTTTGATACAGCTCATGTCCTAACTTATCACAATCAATAACCGGAATCTTCCTTTTAATCAGAGTTTTAGACAATGTTGACTTCCCACTACAAATTCTCCCTGTGATACCAATAACAAATACCATTGTTCTGTTGTTTTTTAGTTATATCTCTAATTTTACAAATACAATACTACTTACTTATAGTTTTTTATTTTTTCGTTATTAATAACAAATTATATTTTTGAATTAAAATAGTTATTTCAATTTTTGTTAATATTACAACAACATTCATGCAAAATAAGTAAAAACAAAAGAGTTGAAAGTTGTAGTTTTATTTCATAAAAAGCACTCATTTCATTTTACCAAACATTGTTAATGTCAATTTTTTTATTTGATTATTGAAGAAAAAGGATATTTTACCTTATTAATATTTAAGTCTATGAATTAATAACATACATTCTGTTTGCTATTTTTCATTTGACCATGAACCATTTATCAGTACTTATACAAATAATACCAGAAATACTCAAAAACCATACAAAACCATACCCAAATTATATGTTGTTAAACCAAGTAATTCTTTATGTGAGTATGATGCATGATAATGATGTACTACATTATTTATATGTTTATTTCTGTTTGGAATATGAACATTATTTTACTACTACTTTTACATCAAGAAATCACTAACACAATCTATTAATATTCATCTTAATCAATCATAAAAGAAGAATGTTATTAAAGTCAAATATCTAATAATTATCTATTTAAACTACTTGTTATTTGTGTAGTTATAAAGAAAGTCTTTGTTGATTTATTTATTTTGAATTCAGAATAAAATAAGACTAAACTAACTCAAATCAAATAAATATTCAGAATAATTATTATCTTTTCATCTAAACCATAAATATAAAAACTTCAATCATACTCATTTTATTAGTGCCACATTCTTCTTTAAACTTACCATAACATCACAATAACAAGTCTCTTATTAATTCTTTATTTAATCTGATTGATTAGGCAATATTGTTCATACTTAATTCTTTACATACTATCATAAAAGGACAATTTATAGTAAAAGAATTAAACCGATGAATAAATTAAGTTCATCAACCACATCATAAACAAAATCTTTCTTTATTAAACTTTAATAACCATTTCTTCCCCCTCTTCCTATAACCAAAGTTGATATTTAAGGAAATAAAAATAGTTTAACATTATTGATTCAAATTAATAAAATTATAATTGTATTGATAAAGGTTTTACATTTTATTATTTACCATTGTTAATATAATAAATGCTAAAACCCAGTCAACATCAATTTCTAAGAAGAAATAAATCTTTTTTTTGAAAAGTTGAGATGGAAAAGAAGATTTAAATATAATGATTTATGAGATGATCTTGAAAACCAGTTTTACTTGAATGGAACTAAATTCATTACGAACTGATCAAAAAATTAAAAAGGAAGAATTTGAAAAAACAAATAAACAGTTACAGCAACTGGTATCGTTTGTGTTTTATTAATATTATGCCACAAATAAAGTCTTTATGAAATAGAGACAATTATAGTACTTTATTAGGAACTTCAGAAAGTGTTATTCAATTATCAAAAATTTCACATTTTCTTTCTGACCAATTGAATATTGTAAGTATAGCAATGGGTAAATTAAAACCTATTGAAGAACAAAAGAAAGTTGAAGTTCCTAAAACATTGAAAGAACAGTTTTTAGAATTTTTAATGGTACATGAAACAGTTTCAGACTATTTACAAAATGAAGAATATTTAAGAGCCTCAATAACTTTTAATGAGATTATGAAAACAAAAGATATATTAATGACAAATAAAAGATATAATTCATATCTCAGTAAAAGAATGAGAGTTATATTATCAACAGAAAAAGATATTATTGAAACAATTAAAACATTATTTGGAAGTTCATTAATTGAAAAAGAAGAAGATAAAGTGATTGAAGCTTTTGTTGTTTATGTCAAACATACTAACCAACGATTAAGTGATGTACTTCAAGATTTATTATTACAAAGAAGAGTTTCTATCATATCAATGTTACAAGATAAAACAAGGAATTGTTTACCAGATATTTATAATTATATTTTAGATACATACCTATTTGTAAGGAAATATTTTACTTTAGACAATGAAGGAAAAATGCAATTGTTATATAACAGTACTTATAAAGAAACAAATGATTATTTCCTTAATTTTAAAGATAATATAGAAGATAGTTTATTACAATGGAAAAGATTAGTTCAACAGGAAATCGGTGATGGAATTATTTCTCAATTTAATTCATTAGAAAATATTGAGTCAGTAAAAAAAATTGCAATTCAATTAGTTAATTTAAAAAAAGAACGAAAAGAAGAAGACTTAATTTATGATTCAATTTTCTTTATTCCATTAAATAGAAGAATTAATGTTGTTGTAAAAGAATTATGGAAAAGAGAATTTGGAGTGTTTCAAAGTAGACATACATTACCACCAAATGCATTAAAAACTAAAGTCAATTTAAATACATTATTTTTTGAACCAGGAATTATTAAAACTCAAAAAGAATTGTCTAACGCATTTGTTGATTGTAAAGCAGTAGAAATATTTGTCCAATCATTTGAATGTTGCTTTGAACAAATTCAAAAGGAATTGGATGAAATATATAATGAAGATGGTACTAATAAAAATCCAGAAATCTTTATACTAGAAAAAAAAAGAGAAGAAGTGTTTGGTGAAGGATTTATATCATGGAGTGAAAATTTAAATGAAGAATTATATCAAATGAATAATGAAATGGAAAAAAATAAAACGAACCCTTCAATATTTAAAGAACTTTTACTTGAATTTCTTAGCTATTGTTGTTTTATTCACCAATGTTGTTCAAAAGTTTTGAGAGAATCAAAACCATTACAAGGAAACACTTATCATTCATTAATCATTATTAAAGAAACATTAACAGGATTATCTTATAAATCAGGACAATATTTCTTTGATACTATTTTAATGAATTTAAGAGTTCCTTTCCTTAAAGATGCATCAATGGAGTCATTTGGTTTTGGTATTGTTAAAAATATAGTCTGGAAAAAAGTTGATTATAATCAAGGATACTACTTAACAGTTAGTAATCCATCATATATTACTGAAAGGTTCTATTCAAGAATGCATTTAGTTTTGTCATGTTTAGGAACTGTTTCTTCTCCATTAATTCTATATGTTCATTCTCATATTACTGTTGTTTTATTAAAGAGATTTGAAGATTATTTAAGGTCATATGGAAATGATTTTGCACCTCAATTTGTTTGTGATTTAATGATAATGAGATATTCATTATTAAAAACAAATGAAATACTTTGTAAAGAATTGAATGATACCTGTCTTTCATTATCATTAATAGAAAAATCAACGACATACTTAAATAATACTCTTAATAAGATTAATGAAGAAATAGAATATTTAAAGAAATATTTTGATGACATTGATTTCTGTTTGTATTTCAATGACTCAAAAGAAATTGCTACCGAATATTATACAACAAAAAGCTCATTATTTCCTACTCTCTTTCCAAGTCAACTTAAAGAACATTAAAAGCAATTGACTTTTTTCTTCTGTAATAATTAATTAAATTGTTATATCGTTTTATATAACAACAAACAAATGACAAACGTATTGATTTTGTCAAGAAATATTCAAATCAATAAAATTTCTTAATATTCATTTATAAATAAATTTTATTAACAATAATTTTTTAGTTCATTGAAAGATAGTGAATATATAAATTAGTTTTTATTTCGTCATCTCAATAAATTTTCTCACTGGTGGTTATTGGTTTATTTAAATTAAAAACTTTTCAATCATGATAATCATCCTCTTGATTCTTGTTTCTTCAAGAAGTAATAAAAATAAACCAAAAATAGGAAGTCCAATAAATTATGAAAGAAAAAACAAAGAAATAATCAATTAATATTCACATGGGATTAAAACAATCAGGGTTTATTGAAAAAGTTAACTTAATGACAGGAGAAAATTTTGTACTTACTATAGTAGTGTTTATAGCACTTGGGTTGATGTCATTTCTTATTGAAAAAATAACTGAAAAGATTGAACATCATTTTAGTAAGAAAGAACATATATTATCGTTAATTCAACATTTATATCATGAACTAATGAATTTAGGCATTGTTTCATTTTGTTTTGTATTATTTGATATTGCAGGGTTATATGGATGTATTGCTCATAATTTTGAAAAATATAATAAAAGAGAAGCAGATGTTTTTGGAATATTTGAAGTAGTACATATTACTTTATTTGCAATAGCAGTTTTTTTAATTGTTATTGGATCATTTGTAATATTTATGTCATGGATATATCACAAAATCTGGAAATATTATGAACGTTTTGGATATCAAAACTCAGAAGAAAATTTTCTACATAAAATGCAACAATTAAAAAATAATAAATGGAATTATCTTAATATTGTTTATTGGATTAAATTTGAATTTGCTTTAAGAAGATATCAATTTAATATCATGAAAGAAGAATTTATTATAATGGAAGGTTTACCAACATCATTTAATTTTGCTCGATATATTGTTAGTTGTTTCAGAAGATTGGCTTGTCACCACATTCATGTTTCAGGTAAAATTTGGTTATATGCTATTACACTAGAAGTAGCAATGACGTCAACATTACATTTGAAGAATCCAAATATTGGATCAGCAGTTCTTCACTGTATTGGTTATTTTTCTTTGTTTATTTGTATTATTGTAACATTAAAATGTAGAAGTGTAGTGAGTCAATTAGTTAAATTACATCACTCAACAGTAAATCTTCCAGTAGTTAATTTTCTTGATGACGATCGTAATTATCCTTCAAACTCAGAAAAAACACAAGAACATTCTGAAAGTTATTCTATGTCAGAAGACTATAGTGATATGAGAAGATCTTTACAATTACAAGGAAGAAAAATTTCATTAAATTATGGGATTAGGGATGTTCCTCCTCCTCAACGACCAAAACCACCAACAGGAATTAAAGGTTTATTGCATAAATATTTTGGGTGGGTTCCATGTTATAATTCTCCATATCATACAACAGTTGAACGGTTATTATGGTTTAATTCTCATGGATTTTTACATTTAGTAATGAAATGCATTTCCATTACACAAGCAATCTATATTGTATTATATATTTTATTTTATTCAAGGTCTAGTGTATATACATGGGAACATATTCTTATTATCATCCCACCTATTTTTGTTTTATTTATTTTAGTTCCACTTAGTTTATCATCAATGACATTAATTCGATACGTAGATAAAGATAGATTGGATGATGTTGTAAAGTCAATTATTTTCCAATCAATTTCTAATAAATTTAATAAACGACATTTATTTAGAGCAGTTGCTTCAAAAGAAAAAGATAAAATGAATGTTCCAGATAAAGAAATGGTTGATGTATTTAAAAATAGATATCTTGCAACTAATAGTACACACAATATTGAACAACTTACTGTTTTAAGTGAAATTATAGGAACTATGACTGAAGGTGTTGATAAGAGGAATGGTTTAAATGTAAGAAAATTTGGTGATATTACAATGATTAATTCTGCTTCTGGAGATGTTATTATCAGAGGAGTTGATCCAAATATATTAGAACACGTGTTTAAAGATGTAAGGAAATATCAAAAGAAAGAATCAAATCAACAAGTAGAAACAGAATCTAATACTGTTGCTATAAATGATATTGATTCAAAACAAATAAATGGTAATGAAGAAAAAGAAGAGTCTATTGTCCAACCAACGGTAATAAAAGATGTTATTGATAATTCATCAGATCAGAATGATCAAAACAATAAAATACCTATCTATAATGAACATACAGAAATAGAAATGAAAGAAAGTATTCCAAGAGTTATTTTAAGTGATTCTTGCAAAACAAATCAAAGTGGTGGAATAGATTCTTCTTCTTCCAGTCAGATATTAACTTCTTCAAGTTCTGAAGATGACGGTGACAATGATAAAACAGAACAACAAACAATTCCAAAACAACCTAAAGATTATATTTTAGTTCAAAAAATAGCTCAACCAACAACTCATTCAGTGTTAAATGTAGATGATGTAGAAATACTTGATATGAGTGATGAAGCATAATATTTAAATGAATTCAATTAATTGATTGTTGTTTTTTGTAAATAAGAACGAGAAGCAAGAGGTGTAGTTGATAAATCAAATGGTGTCCATGGACATCCAACAGCATCTCGAATAAGATCTTTTAACTTTTGTTCTTTTAATTCAGGAAGTGAGAAATCATAGAATTCTACATGTCTTTGATTAACATTTCGACTTAACAATGAAATAGTACCAGAAGGAATTTCTTTTGGATTAAGTTTGTCATAATTTGTTAATAAATTAACTAATTTTTCATCAGTTAAATGTGGACAAATTTCACTTCTAGAATCATCAACTAGTAAATTTTTTTGGTTTAAAACAAGTACTCTTCCAATTTCTTTTATAATAATTAAATTGTCTTTCAATACTAATAAATTCTTTAATTTATATTCAAAATCAGATACTATTCCAAGGAGCATTTGTATTTGAATTCCCATCATTAATGTACAATGATCCTTTATAACCTCTTCATAAAAAGAAATATTTAGTACTTTAAACATATCGTTAAGAATAAGTGTCTTAAAAGGACCAATAGTCCTAAATTCACAAACTAAATTAACAATACTATTAAGTTCTTGTAGTATTGGTTTATCTGAACAATTTTGATTTAATGATATTTCCCATGCTTTATGAAATTTTAAATTTATTATTTCAAATAATCGAGTATAACATTTAGACCCAATCTTTTGTATATCTTCATTAAATTGAACTAATGACTCAATCCTTTGTTTTTTTCCTAATGTCTCATATAACGTAATTAATTTACTTATAGAAGAAAATAAATAAACACATAATTTTAAAGGTAGAATATCAGCAATAACAAATGACTGTAACTGTGTACAAATAACTTCAGGTAATCCAGAATTTGAAATAAATTTTTCTATTGGCATAGAAGAATAAATTATTTGTGTTAATAATGTATTATCTGTACTTTTGCATTGTTCTTCTAATTCCATAAAAGAAGAATGTCTTCCAATATCTTTAATTAGTAATTCTTCTTCTCCAGTTAATACTTCAACAGTGTTTCTTCTTGACGTATTAACTTTTAACTCTCTTGTTGAACTTTCTCTTAATGGACCATCTCGTTTTATTTGTCTAAAACTACTTTGTCGTGCAATACTATTACTGTTACTTCCTATTGTTGGTTGATCTAAAGCAGAACGAATTTGTGAAGCATCTGCTGTTGCTCTATGTATTCTGTCAATTGACCTTATCGTTCGATGAGATATAATAGGATCTCCGTTTGACTCTTTATTTAGAGTATTAAAAACTGGTTGAGTTTGTTTAGTACTTTCAAACTCAAAGGATCTTGTAAGATCTAATGAAGTTTTAGAAGAAGGAATTTTACTAACAGAAATCGTGCTTTGACAGATTTTTCTTTTTGGAGTATTACAACTAGAAGAAGTAAGGACTTTACTTGAAGATGTATTTGGACTACCCATTATTCTTGTCTTTTGTTTACTTACCTTAGGAGTTGAAAAAAGATGATCCCCAAATAAAAGAAGTAATTTGATTGTTAAAATCTCTTTTCCAACATTTAATAATTTATTTATTGATTGTTCACCTATAGATGCTTTATCATTAAAATAATCTGAAAGATTAATTGTTTCACTTCCAATTGTCATATTTCTTGATATAATATTTAATTTAAGTATTTTTGGTTTTAGATGACCTTTTGAATATTGAAACGTTGAAATAAAACTGAATTCTTCATTAATTTCTTCTCCAATAGAAAAAACTTTAGTTGTACCATTATTATCTCCTCGTTCCCAACTAATCTTAATATTTCCAATTTCACTTTTTTCATTTTGACTCATTACACTTATTAACCGAACTTGAACTCGAGACTTTTCATCATGGGATTTCATGGATATTTCAATTCTTTAAAGATTCCTTTTGAAGTTCTTTTTTCCCCATTATTGTTCTTTTTATTTTTTCATAATAGTTTTATTATAGTTTTACTGTTTTTCAATCTTTTGTCGAACTTATTTTGTGAAAAATATGAAAATAAGTTATTTTTAAATAACACAAACGAAAAATATTAATTTAATGAGTTAGAAGTTTAATTAGTATAACAAGCTTTTGAAATTGTTCCCTACAAAAGTTTTTATTTCCTCTAGAATTGATGAGATTGAATCATTTCTTATGTTAAAAAAAGATCATTAATAAAACAATAATAATAAAAAAACAAACGATAAACATTTGCTATTGTACTATTAGGATTTAAAGTAATAATTATTTCTAATAATTTATTATCAGCACAAATGTAAGCGGTCCACTTTCCATTATCTCCTTTAATATATATTTCTTTTGCTCCTTCTTTAATAATTTCTAAATGATTTAACATCTTTATTACATCTGGCTTATCAAATATTGATAATCCTCCATTCTTAACGCTTGTAGACATATTATAGTAATAGAACATAATCGATTTATTCACTAATTCTTTTGGTACTTTTGGAAGTCCATCAGAAAATGTTGATGACCAGAGACCTTCAAATAAATCAGTTAACCCACTATTTAAAAATAAGAGAAATGTTGATACAGACTGATCATTTTCAGTATCTAAAAAGAAGTGGAAAAAGAATAGTTTATGTTCAAAAACAACCCATTTTCTTTCTTGTCCGTCTATGAAAACTGAACAATTTAATATGTCCTTTGTTGCTGCCAAACTACTTTTACTTCTTGAACGTTCTTCAGGAATTCCAAAAACAATTCTTCTTTCATCATTTGCAGTTCTAATTCCATTAAACTTACTTCCAAAATCCATACTTCCATTTCTTAATACATTAAATAAATTAAAAATATTATTTTGCATTGAATAATCAAAGTTAGTATGAACTAACTGTGTACTAAACAATTGTTTAATTATTTGTTTTTATTTATTCTAAAAAAAACATTAAACAAACTTTTGGAATAACGCATATTCTTTTACACATTTAAATTGTGTTCCTACATCATTCATCAAATTAATTAATTGGGTAATTTGATTTTTAGACATTGAAGCGTATTGAATTCCTGTTAATCTTCCTGGAGATGCTAGAATATCATTTGAAACAGTACACATAATAGGATCAAAAAATTTTTTTAATTTAAAGATAAATACATCAAATGACGATTCAAATTGTTGTGTAAATGTTCCATTCAATAATATAAAAGAATTACAAAGGAATTTAAGAAGATCAATACCAGTTTGATCAAGTGATGGTGTATCAGAAGAAACAGTATAACTAACCCAGAATGAAGGTTCTGGTGAATATAAAAAAGTTTTTGTTTTAACCATTGTAACTGTTGTAATTGGTTTTGAAAATTGAGAAAAAAAACCAATTAATGTTTGAAATAATCCAAGATTTGCTAAATCTGAATATCTTGTTTGATTACTAAAAGAATATAATAATTTTTTTTCATCTTCTCCTTCTTTTGTTTTAATATTTGGATTAAAGATAAGAAGCTGTTTTACTGAAAGATCTTTTTTAGAAGATGAAAGTAAATCCATTACAGACATTTAAATGAACTGATAATTTTTTAGTTCTTATTCTTTCTTTTCTATTTCATTCTGTAAACAATAAAAAAATACTAAATTTCAATTAAACTTAACTAATACCTTTTTATTTCTGGGGAGACAAATGATTGTTTCAGTAATTAATGACTGAAGAATTGAACTAATAAAACAGTCATATTCAACACTGTCAACAAGATCTAATACTGTTGGTAATGTTTTTGGATTTAACACTATTGTAGGAACATTCTCTTTCTTTTTTTCTACTAATTTATTGAATGCGATAGCCATTTGTTTATTCATTGAAATAAATTCTTTTACTTCTCAATTATTTCTTTTCAGTCAATTCTTTTAAACAAGTGTTTCCTTTCGTTTCAAATTCAATTTTATAATCTTCTCATTTAGTGAATCTTATATTTTAAGAAATCCTCAAAAAGGGTTGAACAAAATGACACGTGGTGAATTATCTGAAAACTATTTTATAAAATTAAAAATAAAAGGAATTTCAAAAATAGATAATAAAGAGAGTGGAGTGTAAATAAGTTGTTTTCCGTTAAAAGTCCAATAAGGAATAAAAGAAAAAACTAGAAATCAATAGAAACAAAGGAATGGTTGATACAACAAACATTACACATAAAATAGTGTTAATTTTAAAATATTATTTTGCATATTGTTTTGTTGCTTCAGTATTTCTTCAAATTACCATTCTACTAATAATGGATGTAATTTGTTTACCTCTTTACTTTATATATAGACCAATTTATCAGTGGATATTCCAACGAGTAACGGAAGTATATATGATGTATTTTCCATTAATATTTTATTATATAATAGGTAATAGAATTATTGAAACAGGTGATGAATTAATTCCAAATGAAAATGCACTTTTCTTATGTAATCATACACACTTTTATGACTTTCTTCCAATAGTTATTGAAGCACCACGCTGTGGTAGAATTGGTGCGATGAGATTTTTTATGAAAGAAGAAATAAGTAAAATACCATTAGTAGGGTTTGTTTTGATTAAAGAATGTAGTGATTAATTATATAAACAATAATAATAAATTAGATTTGGATTTTATATGATGGATAGTGTTTATTTAAAAAGAAATTTCCAAGATGATAAACCTTATATTCTTGAAACATTCAAAAGATTCAGAAATAAATATTACCCTTTTTGGTTAACTATTTATCCTGAAGGTACTCGTGTAAAACCTCAAAAATTAATAGAATCTCAACAATACTGTAAAGATAATAATATTCCAATTTATGAAAATTTATTACATCCACGTCCTACTGGTGTTATTGTTACTTTACAACAACTTAGAAATGTTATTCCTTATGTTTATGATATTACGTTAGGTTATCCTGTAAAACCATCACCATCTTGTTGTTTCTTCCCAGGAGAAGGAATTACAATTCATATGAATATTCATAAAATTAATGTCAAAGATATTCCAGAAGATGAAGAATCATTAAAACGTTGGTTAGATGATTTATGGGTAGAAAAAGATAAATTAATGAGTTATTTTAAAGAACATAAAGAATTCCCAGGAGAACCTCGTAAGCCACCATTTAAATTTACTTGGGCAGATTTTACTGGTTATATGACACCAGAATGTTTTACAAAACCTTAAACTAACTATTTGTTATTGCTATTCATTTTGTTCGGTTATATAAATGAAAAAAAATAAGAAACACAAAAACTAAAAATTTGATGGTGATGAATCTTTTTTTATTTCTTGAATAGAATAAAAATAAGTATTAATTTTATAGTAAAATAATAATAATAAAATAATAAAAAAAAAGAACTGAGAACTAAAAAAAAATTTAAATAATAATAGTTAATGGAAGAAATACTCAATCAGTTAGAACGAGTTGAAACTAAAAGTGCTCAACAAATTGAGAAGATAGTTAGGTGTGTAGGAAAAATTGCTGAATATACACTTGACGATGTTATATTTGATCCAAAGAAAGATTGGACTTTTGACTCTTTAAGTACTTGTTTTAGTAAATCAGAAAGAATGATGGAAAACAAGAAAGAAATAATAGTAATGATTAAAGATCTTATCTGTTTATTAGATGATTTAAAAATTATTGAAGACAAAGAGCTTGACAATTTAGAAAATGATAGAAAAGATTTACTTGAGGCTATGGAAGAGAAAATTAGAGATATGAAACAATATGGAAATGATAGAAGAAATACTAAACCACCAAGATCTCCAATTGATGACCGGAGAACAAGTCAACGAGATTATTCTAAAAGAATACCCGCAAGAGATAGAGAAGTTATTAGAGAGGATAGTCATGATAGAATAGAAAGAAGAACAACTGAAGTACAAAAAGAAAAAGGAAAACAAATTGTATTGGAAATGAGACCTGTTATTGAAAATGAAATAGAAAATGTTGTAGCAAATAAAAGCCAAAAAGTATTGTTTGATACTAATACTGATGGATGGAAAATGGATAAATTTGTTGATTCTGTTACTGGAAAGAAAAGAATTGGGTTCTTAGTATTTGATGAAATTGCACATGTATTTGGAGTATTTGTAAATGAAATAATTCAACCAGGACAATGGCTAGATGATTCTAAATTATTTTTATTCTCATATACTCCAGGACAAAATAAACCATTATTCTATTCAAATATCATGTTCTCTAACCATGATGGAAAGTCAATCTTTAAGTTAGAAGAGAAAAATGCAGAACACTTTTTCAGAGTAGCTAACGTTATTTATATTCAAAACGTTTCTGGTAAAAAAGGAAGTGTTATGTATCCTGAGTTAGAAGAATATTTCTTCCATGCAAATCCTAGATCTTTCTGTGGGTATGTTTATCCTGATAAATTTGAATCAACTAGAGTTATTGCACTTCAATTCTAATTAAAACCACATATAAGTATTATTTTTTTTACTTATTTGGTAATTAAAAGGGAACAACAGGAATTTACTTTCTTTATTCTCATTAAATCAATTACTTCTTTACTAAAAATGATTACATTTTCTCTTTAATCTTATTTATTAGTTATATATTCATCCCTATATATTACATTAATAATATTTAGTATTTATTCAAATACATTACTTTCAATGGTATTTAATTATTTAGTAATTCTTTAATATATCTTTATTTAATTAATATAATTACTTTAATAAATATATAAAAATATTTATTTCACTTTTAATAACACCTTTTCCTTTATTTATTAATATGTGTATTTAATTGTAATAATAATAATTGAATTATTTTTTTTTTCTTTTAAATATTCTTTCTTTAATAAATAAAAAGCCTTTAAATTATTTTTTAATTGCTAAATCATTTATTGTTTGTGGATTTGTAACAATAGAAAGTGTCGAGAAGAATGTAGGAGTTGGGAATGAATCATTTTTATCAATAATTTCTTTAATGAGTGTTGTTCTTCTTAAATATGGTTTTAAATAATCATCTGGTGATATATTCAAACTACAACAATAATTAGCATTAATAGCTGTTTCTCTAACTAAAGCCGGAAGAACTTCTTTACCAACAATTATTCCATCCATTAATGGACCAAATTGTCTTACATTTTGTTTTCTCCAAATTCTAATTTTATGTAAACCATTTCCAATTGGAGTAACAATAATATGAGCGGCATTAAATTGTGATGTAATAGTATGTGGATTATAGTCACCAGATTCATTCCAAACAATATGGACATAATCATTTCCAACATGTCGTTTTTTAGTTAATTGTTGTTGGTCATCTGCTTGTGTTGGTATTAAAGTAATATCATGAAAAATAACTTCTTTTGT